TGATTAATCTATCTTTTTTACAGGGATATGTACCAAAGGCTTTTAAGGTGGCTGGAATTATTTCTTCAAGAAAAGAAACCAACCAACAAGTAAAAGCAAACGTCTACTAAAAAAGGAGAGCTACTTCAACATCCACCTTAAGCAGCATAATTCTATAATGTCAACCATCCAACTCGGAATGCAACTAATGATTATCTCTGTATAATTGATGCTCTCAGTGGGTCGCTCTGCCAGCTAAAGGCATGTTTTATACTGCAGTTAATGATGATTTCAATAATCAATTAAACCGATTTCAGCCCTACACCCAACCAATCATCGGTCTGTCATAGCGTCCAACCATCCCTCCGTTTGTGAGTGGGCTACATAGGGGAGTGTTGGCCTAGTGGTTAGAGCAGTGCTAAGAAGGTTGTAAGTACCCGGTTCGATCCCCACAGCCTGCTCCCCGAGGAGATGGGTTAAATATGAGTTCAATAAAGTTAAGATAGGAGACTATTGATTAAAAAATTCAGGTGAAACGTTCAAACCTTCAGCCTCTGAGTCTGCAGTCATGTCCTCCTATCTTCCTCATAATGAAGCAGATCAGCTTTTTAAGCTAAAGCTGTTCTGTTTCCACTGCATCCAAGATAAAACTAACAACCAGGCCCCATTACACAACCCTCATCATCATCATCATCATCATCATCACTTACTCAGCAGGGCGGAGGTGAAGAACTGGTACTCGTCTTCTCCATTGTCATAGTCCAGAGGTGTGCTGTACTCCTCAAGGGGCGTTCCCTCAAAGGCATCTTCATCCCAGTAATCATCCTCTTCATCATCGTCATCATCGTCATCCCCCTGACCCGCCGTCAGGCTGGCCTGCTGATGTAACTTGTTCTGGCTGTCGTTGACCTCGTCTTCGTCGCTGGGGATCTCCTCTGCTCACAGAGAAAAGCGATCATTCCCTGGATCTTAGAAATACTCTCCGAATTCGGACGGCTTGGTCTTCCTCTACCGTTCTGATCTTCATCATGGAGCCCAGCGCGTGCCAGCAGGTCGGGTTTGTTGATCTGCCGCGATGCATACAGGTGTTTGAGACCCAGGAAAAGGAGCAGGATGGAGGGGATGATCTGACCCGCTACCCTCTGCAGCGCTGCCGGTTGGCTGGGCAGCTCCATTAGCACGCTCAGACCGATGATGCACATCTTCCGGTCATGGAGCCTGAGGAGGGAAGCGGATCATGCCTCGGGTTAGGCTGCTGACATGTTAAAGGGCAAAGATCATGAGTCTGCAGAGGCTGCAACAACCATTTAGCCCCAGAATGCTGCTAAAACTAGGGCAGAGCTCTAGTTTTAGCAGGACGTCTTGGGA